TACAGAGGGTGCTCTGGTGGATATCTTCAAGCTCCACAAGGACAATAGGATTCCTAAATATGATCAGGACAGAGTAACTTTCTTTTCTTTTTATACAATGTACAGGGTAAGGACACTATACTGCTCATCAACGAAGAAATGAACAATGTTTCTTCCCCATTTTCCCATTCCAAACCTTCCCCTCGACCCTGCTGATTGGATTTGGCGTGCAAATAGGTGTAAACCTCTAAGATTACAATCACTATCGATGAAGGCGTCTTATCAGCTATTGCGTCCCAAAATAGATATTCCGAAAATTGTAAAGATCAATGGGTTCGACATCTGAACATCTATGAGGATCTGCTTAAACCGATGAGGTGGTGTCAAGGACTCAAAGAGAGGCCTGCCAAGTTTGCGTCTTTACAATGGCAGATAATGCACAGGTGTTTACCCACAAATGACTGGTTGATAGATCATTCTACGCTAGAACAGAGAGGTGTGGCTTCACTGTGGTGTAGATCCTATGTACAAGCCTTTCCTATAAGGAAAATCAAAGAAACAATTGAACATGATTTTCTGCAATGCCCAGGTGCAATATTGTTATGGCGTCGCTGGGTTTATGCATAGCAAAAACTGACAGGCCTGGAATGGCCGTGGGAATGGAGGATAATCCTCTTGGGGCATTGGAATCCTTTACTGATTGAGCTCTCAGATTTTCAACAGAATTTCTTTCGTTTGGGAAGGAAAGTGGTCTTGTGGGCCTTATGGCATAAAAGATGTGTCAACTCAATGGAAGGGGTGGGAAAAAAAAAAATTGAACGTAAAGAGATGGCCGAACTAATCCAACATTTTGTCCAAACAGAAATAAGAATTCAATGGGAAATAACGAAAACAAGGCTCACAGAGTTCAAACAGAAAAGAGATATTAAGCAAAGAATTCTAAAATTCAAATTGGACTGGCTGGGGGGATGCATCAGGGAAGAAACTGGGGGAGTTGGTTTGGCCAGGAGGGGAAGGGGATCAGGTGTCCGTCAAGCGGGACTACCAGATCACCTTTCAAAACTGGTTTGACATCCAACAAGGAGCTTATTTGCGATCACCTGAGTACTTTTCCGATCCTTTTTTTCCCTCTAGTCTTGCTTTGGTGGATATGAGTGGTTTGGGGGGGAAGGAGGATAGGATTCACAACTAGTTAGTCCTTGGGGTTCTTTTGAAGAGGGATGCTAGATATATCACTACAGACTAATGACTGAAGAGGCAGCCCCATCTTCTGATCTAGAATCAGCATTATCAGCAATGTGGTTCTCTTTGGTATTCAATGATATATGGAAAGGGACGCTGGACCCGCTTTCCAGCAGGTGCTGCTCCCCACCAATAGACTGGAGCCCCTTGCAAGACAGATAGGAGTGTATGCTCTTACCATCACTCCTATCTGTTGTCACGGGGTTAAAAAAAAGAAGAAAAAAAAAAAAGAAAAAGAATCTCAACACATCAGGCCACATCCTGCAGCACCCCTGCTACTACTATACAGGAGGGGGACGTACCCGCTGTAGGCAGCCAGATGCATCCACGTTCTGCACCAATCGCAATCCGATACGTTTAGAAAATTGCTATGGTAGTGTGACTATCCTGAGCTGGACCGATTCCTAATTTACCACACAGCATATGGTGGTGCAGCACGCCCCTCTGCTATACTGGCAAGGGCGCAGCATTTTTTCGACTCCGCTCTGGCTGAGATAGCAACCAGATGCATCCGGGTTCTTCTATGATACCCACTGTATTGTCAGTCACAGCCACTGGATTGGATGGGCATAACCTAACCTCATACATACGCACGACTAATAAACTACCCATCCTATGCAGTTCTCACAACGCGTCAAGTGGCAAACTACCGGGACCACTGCCATCCACACACCAGACTATATTCAATGCATCCATAGGAGCGAAAACAGGCAACGTGTAAATAGGGCACCGCCGGTCATAATCAGCCCGAGATGATGAGTCAGAGTTCATTACCGTTTAACACTCGATCCGTTTGTCCACGGGACAAAGCTGTACACACGTAATGTGCTCCTCCGATACATGATGGGGAGTTCCTCCTCCCTCCTCTTCACCAAATAGCAACCCTGCGGAGTTTCTCCTGCTATAAAGGCTGCATGCTACACTTATTATTACAGTAAGTACGAAAACAATAGCATATGCTATAATGATATCCCATAACCCCAGGAGAGAGTAGATTCAGAAGGACTCAGCATCAAGACTAAGACCAAGGGCAACAAACAATATTGGCATGGCTAGTACTGCAACACTGCGGCGACGGCAAGAACGGGAAGTTCACCGCCCGGCGCCTGTAGCATGCTGAGGCGGCTACACGGTCCCTGTTTTGGAGCCCAGCGGTTGTTCCAGGCCCCCAGGCAGCGCACCCATTTTTGGTGAGTGACCCGGAGGCCCACGGCCATTTTTCCAGGCCAGGCACACACTTGGTTCCACGTGTTCTCTCCGTTATTCAGCATTTCTTATTTTGCTGGGTGATTCAGTTTCGCCCGTTGCAGGCCAGGTTCTCCAGGCATTCGTCTGTCTGTTTGTGCCTGGCCCAGTCCTCAAGACCCTGCTGCATCGGCAGGGTTGCCTGGTCCAGTAGGGACCCAGGCAGACCGTTTTTGGCCAGGATCGTAGGACCAGGACTTGGGCCTGCGATCAGGACCATCGATCGGACATCAGATCCGACGGTCCTGATGGCAGACTGCGGACTGCTCAGCCAGGCCCAGCAGGCCAGTCCTCCACTTAGGGGACACATTCTGGCTGGAGCCTCAGTTGGACATCACGCTGCTGGAGCAGCGCCAGTTTGGGGGGAGCTGCGATAGAGCTGCATTGGAGGAGTAGAGGAGTATAGTAGGCTGTAGTGGGGAGGTTTTGGCGGAGGCCATGTCCACAAAGGAGAGAGAGACTTACCTGGGCGCCATAGCTGGGGCTTCATACCGATCATGGGACCGGCCTTCAGCAGTGACCTGCATCGGGAGTCATCACGTTCGCCGGTCAGTATTTGTGGCATCATCGTCAGAAGCGCGTGAGAGAGGAGAGTTCTTCTTCTTTGTAATGACCCGCCAAAACACAGACTGAGAAGACTGCTGATTTCTGAGTTTTGCCGCTGGAATGTATGCCTTGCAGAGATTCCCGTGTTCTGCTCAGTTTTCTAAGTCTGTGTGTGTGCGTGCCTGCTGGTTTGTGTGCTTGTCTGAGTGCTTGTCAGCTTGAGTGTGTGTGTGACCCGCAAGGGTAATTGTTCGTGTGGAGGCCTTGCAGGGCCGGTACTTAAATGTGGCCGTGACTTTTAGTGCCGCGGGCCTACCCCCGCTACTTGAGTGTTTTTCCCGCTGCAACCCTAGTAGCAGGTAGGCCGATACCACTCAAGTAGTGGTAGATGTGTCGGGTACTCAAGGCCGAGCAGAAGAACACAAAAAGTTGGCCATTTTAGAGGCCCAGTAGCGGTAGGCTAGAGGTAGGCTGGTACCAGTCCAAGTAGCCTGAGTCTAGGGCCTGTACGGATGATATCAGAGCCTGCAATGATGCTTTCCTCCGAAAGTGAGGAGGTACGGGTTGCTTGGAGGCTGCACAGCCTGGAAGTCACCGCCCAAGAGGCAAGTAGGCCGCTATATCTTCTGGAGGATCGACTGAACCCTTAGCTAATGGGAACTGAAAATTGACGATGGCCCGGTGGGATTGGATTCATTGATTGCTCTAGCTTACTGAAACCTCACGGAGCATAAGTTTCCTTTCCTTCTTTGCTTGATTATGTCATCAATCGCTTATCTTACTTCGCGTTCTACCCACTGGAAGAGTTTGAACTTCACAAGACCGACCATACAATAAAGAAAGCATCAGCATCAATCAATCCAGCAGCTCCTCCTCGTTTGCGGTGTGCAAGGTTGGGCGACATACTGCTTGAGCGAGCGCTGGACACAGAGTGCTGCCTCGGAGGACGACGAGGAGCTGGGCGCTCAGCCTGGCTATGGCGAGCAGCCCAGCTTCAGGAGCGAAGCAGGAGAGTGGCGAGGTACCTACCTGGCTATGGTGGACGCCATCTTCATTACCTTGTTACGCGCTGCATCTGGAAGGCCCCATTTGGGGTGGTGCCGCGCCAAGGAAGCTTCGGGCCACCATAACCTTGGCATGTGAGAGGAAGGTGACGGGGGAAGCCATGGCTATGGTGGACCTATTGTTGTGCTGGCAGTAAGAGGGAACTTCGGATATTGATTCTGGTTCAACCACTCGTTGTTATTATTATTATTTGGACAAAGGATAAGATTGGCGAAGACAAGGAGGAGGAGGACCGTGGAGAGAGAAGGGGGATTTGGCATTGGTCTTGCTGGTGTACATCTTCTTCTTCTTCTTCTTCTTCTTCTTCTTCTTCTTCGTCTTCTTCGTCTTCTTCTTCGTCTTCTTCTTCGTTTTCTTCTTCTTCTTTCTCTCTTGTTCTTTTTTTTTGTCTCTATCTCTTTGAAAGTGCTTTCATTTCTTTCGCAATTGGGTGGCACTATCTTTCCTTGTGAATTTGCCCTTCGGAACTGACCAGGATCGTGACATCTTCTCCTTCTTCTCCTGGCTTTTCTCCACTCCTCCATAGCTACTATTCTTCTCCTCCTCCTCCTCCTCCTCCCTCATTTCTTCGTCCTCTTCAGAGAGAGAGAGAGAGAGAGAGAGAGAGAGAGAGAGAGAGAGAGAGAGAGAGAGAGAGAGAGAGAGAGAGAGATTTCAGGCAGTGACTATTTCGGGCCTATGTGCGCCCAGGATTGGATTCAACATTTTCAAGGACAGACATTGGTTGGACATTTGTCGGGAAGACTTTTCTTGGATGACTACGAGTTCAACTTTCCCCATGTGTGAGCGCAAGGAGGGACCCTTCTTCCGTCCGTGTACGGCTTCCCTCCTTGCTGTGTGACATGTGTGATGATGATTGTGTGCGTCGAGTCTGGATCTGATGTGTCAGCTCATATCTTTGAGTCTTCCGCTGTGCTACACTGCATCATTACATCATTTTGTTTCGAGTCCTGTACATGTGCATCACTCATCTTCAGATGAGCATGCATCACCGCCTGAGGATCAAACGATTCAAAACCCCGGCTTCAGTCCACAGTGGGGCAGAAAACTCACTCGTCTCGACAACTTGAAGTACGAGGAGGTTGAGTGAAAGGTAGGCATTAGGAAGATCAAGACCCACCTAGGAGGAGACTACGTGGCATACCTGACAGTCCATCGTCCTAATCAGATTCTGAAGCAATCAATATATGCTGATCAGGGGTTCGATTCCGTCGTCTGGAGCGTGCGCGAGGAAGCGCTGGACTTACGGTCTCCGTCGCTGTGTGATCTACGACGAGTTGAGGACTTGCTAGTGGAAAAGGAATCCCCAATCAACTGCCAGAACATAGAAAGGAGCCAGGACCAATGTCCTATTTCTTTCCCCCCCCCAAAAAAAAAAAGAAACAAAGAAACAAAGCAAGAAATCAGACCTCCTTCATCATGTTCTGCTGCTTCTGCACCATCGTTCAGTTACGTCATTTCACAGATGGTGTCATCTCAATGACACACACGAAGTCATTTTTTTCATTTTTTTCCTATTCCCTTTCAAACAACATTCTAGCCAATCCATGAGCTGAACGTGATGCATCTGGCTGCAATCACGTCCAGACTGAATGCATCTGGCTGCAATCACATCCAGAGTGAATGCATCTGGCTGCAATCACGTCCAGAGTGAACGCATCTGGCTGCAATCACGTCCAGAGCTGACGGAATACCGTCATTTGAGCTTGCTGTGTTTTTCGGACTTGTTCGTACTTTGTTCCCATAACACCTGACCATCATCTGCTGCTGCCTGGCAGAAGCTGTTGCTGGCCACTCCCGGCCTCCACACCGATCAGCAACTAACTAACTAACTCACTGAGTTAACTAACTGAGTTTCCTTCACTATGAGTCCTCACACTGGTCAGTAACTAACTAACTAACTAACTAACTGAGTTTCCTTCACTATGAATCCTCACACAGATCAGTAACTAAGTAACTAACTAACTGAGTTAACTAAGTAACTGAGTTGACTAACTGAGTTAACTGACTGAGTTTCCTGCACTATGAATCCTCACACCGATCAGTAACTAACTGACCGAGTTTCGTTGACTATGAAAATAGTCCGAATCCTCATCTGATTCGGCAACTACCGGCTGACCTACTGTACAAACCACGAGCCTCATGATGCCATCTTCTTCCTTTGCTCGCCAACAAGAGGACAAAAAAAACATTGAAGTCTGCTGACACTGCAGCACGATAATGTTCTGTAGGATTGAACTCCGGCCGACAAATGTAAGCACCACTGCTTCCTCCAGGATTGAGCTCCGGCCTTGAATATGTGTGTGTTTTGCCAGGGCTGTTCCTTCTTCTCGGTTTGAATTCTCCATTTGGCACCCCCCCCCCCTTCCCCCGGCAATTTGGTCTCTGCCGCGGGTGTTCTGATACAGGAATGTGATGCGAGAAATGCGATGCGTGAGCCTGTTCTGCTCTGCAAGTGCCAAGTGGTACCCTGACACACTGTCCTGCCTGCAAACCTGCTCGCTGCTTCAAGTGTTGTGAAACGAAAATGCAATGTGTGAGTCTAGGACGTGTGCTCCCCCTCCTACTACTCTTATTATCAGTGATACGGAAAAAAAGTGTTCCCATATGGACACAGTGCTTCGCTGTTTCTCTCTCTCTCTCTCTCACCGACATCATTCACTGACCCAAGTTCTGAGCTCCCGTGTGTGCGCTCATCGAAGTCCCCCGTTCACGGAGTAGTGCCAATACTTGAGCTGTGCAGGATTCTCTGGCATGGGGAATGATAGTAGTCGCTTGCGTTCCTCCTGACCTCCCCTTTTGCAATCATTCTGCCTTCCCGTGAATTCCTAGCGGTGTTCTCATTTCAGTGACGACAACAGCAAGTTGCGAATGTCTCCGATGTCTCCTTTCACTTCTCGAGTGGCGATGTCTCCAAGCTCCCGGCTTATATACTGGTAAACTTGTTTGATGTCATCAATCGAGGTCGATGTCACACCTGGCATGGGGAACGATAGCAGTACCTTGCGCGAGTCCTGACCTCCCCTCTTGCAATAATTCCGCTTTCCCGTGACTTGGTAGTGCTGTTATCATTGTCCTGCCAACAACAGCAAAAGTTGCAAACGTCTCCGAGTCGTTGTCTCCTTTCGTTTCTTGAGTTGTGATGTATTGAAGCTCCTGGCTTATATATATATATACTGACTGGGTGAACTTGTTGATGTCGTCAATCAGGGTCAAAATGGCACACCTGGCGTGGGGAATGGTAGTGGTCGCTTGCGCTCGTCCGCTTGAAGTTCCTCTTCCTGATCTCGCCCAACAACAGCAAGTTGTGAGCGTCTCGTTGCCTCCTTCCGTTTCTCGTCTGCTTATTTCTTTCGTCTCTTGAGTGGCGATGTTCTCCGAGCTCCTGGCTTATGTATGCAGGTGGTAAACTTGCTTGATGTCATCAAGGTCAAGGTCACACCTGGCATGGGGGGGAATGGTAGTGGCCGCTTGCGCTCTTCCTCTTCCTCTTCCTCTTCCTCTTCCTCTTCCTCCTACTGACCTGCCCTTTCCCAATAATTCTGCGTTCACTTGAATTCGGTCTGGTGTCCTCATTTCAGGGCCAACAAGAGCAAGTTGCGTAGTTCTCCTTTCGTTTCTTGAGTGATGACGTCTCGAAGATGAATTCCTGTCTTGTACTGGTAAACTTGTTTTATGTCGTAAAGGTCAATGTCACACCTTCGCAAGATAATATCAATGAGTGCACCTTTGGCACTCTTCGGTTCCTCCAATTTGCCGTGCAACATGTTGGCAAAGAACTCCGGTGGACAGATCGCAAACATGGCGATGAAGATAAGGGACTTGTAGACTTCGCCCGAATGCGCGTTCTTCAAACATGTGAAAATGCTGTCCCCTTTCAGTCGCCTGAAGGCCATGAAAATTGCGTTGAGCTGAACGAAACTCTCCGTTGTTAGGACGTCCAGGAAATTAGATGCACCCCGATGAAGGTTGGCGGCGGCCTGTCGTGATCGAGATGGATCGACGTAACCGTCACCCCTCGACCCATGCACAAGATTGCAAAGGAGCTTGCAGAACTGCCCGCTGCAGTCGCCCCTGATATCGGCTACCAGCTCTCTCTTATACATCCCCACATACACCTCGGCAATGGCCTTCAGCTCCTGGGAGTCACGACTACAGATGATCTCGCGCAGACTGTGCTCGTCGGTTCCAAGTCCCTTCATCGAGCGATAAAGACGCTCTGCATCCGTGACTGCACGAGGAAGAATAAGGGCCAAAACGCCATCTCGAAAATGACCACTCAAGGTTGACTTGATCTCCTTCGCCAATGGAGTTAAATATACAGACTCGTAGGTCTCCGCAATTATCTCCCTCTGATACCTTGACCGAGTAGTGACTATATCCATCAGCATCTGTTTTGACGCATTATGCATTCCATCCTTTGCTGCCAAGTCTGTAAAGCCACACGACAGCAGAACACGTAGAAGGAAAAAGCCACACATCAACACATGATAATACAACATCCTCACTCCCGGTACTATTACGATGACTCACTATGACCTCTCCCCCCCCCCCCC